TTTATCATCTTACCTTAATACTTTTTTGAACAGAATAATGGTACAAATCAACTGGTGTAAAGAAAACAAACAATTTTGTAACAAGCAAATTAAAAAAAATTTTTTTTTTGCTTGTTACAAAATTGTTTGTTTTCTTTACACCAGTTGATTTGTATCATTATTCTGTTCAAAAAAGTATTAAGGTAAGATGATAAAAAAATGAATATTTTACAAGATATTTTGTAATTTACGTCTAAATATTGAAACTTTCAAACCTTAATAACTCAAAAAGTTCTTAACAAAAAAATACTTTATTATAGTGTTTTGGAAAGCTCTCGAGATAACCTACAAGAATATGTAACGAGAAATAGTAGATTCCATGTAAGAAATTGAAGGTAACCTTCATGTGACCTTCAAATTACTCTTCAAGGTCAAACCTATGGTACCATCTTATGTCCCCCTCGAAACCATACAACTTTTGTCTGAAACATTTTTTCATATCTCTTTTAGTTTTTTAAAAAATCGACTGTATAAATTAAAATGGCCCACCCTGTATATTGTGACGTTGCCGTCCCGCGCGCGTCCGCCGGGTTCCTCCCTAAACGCGACAGGCGCACAGTTAGGAGTAACTGTGCCGCGGTCTCCAGAGAGGCGTCCGTTATCGTTCTTTTGTTCCGGCTTTATATCATATTGTTTCTTTTTTTTGTTGTTATGGTACGAGCACGTGAGTGTGAAGGACTTGAAGGCAGAGGCGAGATCAGAGGCACGGCTAACGGACAAATTCCACGGAGAGCACAGCGGAAGGGCGATTACGAATCGAGAGCGAAGACCGCGGAGCACCGCGCCGGGAGGAAGGAGCCCAGGGCCCGTGGCACTCTACCGGAGGGGCGTCAGCGGGAGAGTCGCTGCGACCGCCCTGTCGAATGAGCCATCCGATTAAGTTTAGCAATGCCGCGGGTACCTGCGCCCTCGACACGGTCTTGGGAATATCGCCTACCGGCGTTGTCGCGTGCCGTCGCGCGATTGGCCGCGGGGGGCACGCGCCCCGCGGGCGCAACCACGGGGAGGGCCCCGCACCATCGATCCTGGATCACGAGAATTCGAGAATTAGCCTGTCGCGAGCGCTGTAATAGAGAGGACCCCGGCCTGCCGCTGCCGATCCGCGCGTTTCCGAGCAGGACGAGCCGTTGCCGTCTGAGAGGCCCGGAGGAGACTAGGTGCCGGTGAGATTGTCTTCCACTCGTTACGCCCCGTACGATTGCGTCCGGGACCGCCTCACTCTGTCGTCGTCGGGTAATTATTGTGATTTGCGATACTCGGGCTACGTCCCGACACCTTTAGAATTCTTAGCGTCCCGACCATGATGACAAGTGACTTCGGTCCCCGGAGCCTGCAGAGCACAGGTCTCGGGTATTGTGTGTGTGAAAGTAGAGTTCACGATCGCGC